TGGTTTTATAGTCTCTGGATCTTGGCTGTTGATGGGGTTACATGGCAGTTGGTGGGTGTAACTGTCTAGCTACTGGAAGATAGGGCATCTGGGTGGAGGAGGCCCAGTCCCTATCTGAGCAGGCTTGAAGATCTCAGCCCTGGGTCCCGAAAACCTGGGTTCCCCTGCCGGTTCCTTTATGCATGAGGCTCATCAGAGTGTGTGAAGAGTGGTCTTAGCATGTCTGTGGCTGGGTCCTGGAGGTCTTCAGCTGCTGGGGCTCTGCTCAAGGCAGAGAGGGAAACTCAACCCTTTTTGATAAACATTTCATTAAATTTATAGATCATTTTGTGAAGGACAGACATTTAAAGAATATTAATTCTTTTTGTTGTTGTTGATTTTGGGCCACATGCAGCATGGCGTTTGATTGATTCCTGCAATCAAACCTGGGGCTTCCTCATGTGAAGTCTATGCTCTCGCCACTGTGTTCCTGCCCCAGCAATATCAATTCTCCTGGCCCATGAGCCTGAACTGTCTTTCCATGTTGTTATACCTTCTTCGATTGTACAGATCTTTCATTTTTGGGGTCAAATTTATTCTAAGACATCTTATTATTATAGAATGGTAAACAGGATTCTTTGGGTTCATCTTGTTTTAAAGAAATGATTTTAATTTCTCTAATGGTTTGCTTTTAGTACAGGAATGGGACCGATTTTTTGTACATTGATTTTTGTATCCTGAAACTTGACTGCATTTGCTTATTCTAACAATTTTGGGGGTGAAGTCTTTAAAGTTTTCTGAATCACCAGTTTTATTAGGGTCTTGTTATGTTTGCAAGATACTTACTGTATTAATACTGGCTTTTCTCCAGATACTGACTCTAAAGCCAATATATGAAACAAAGACATAATAAACAAAATATATAAAGTGGCTCTCAGAGTGTACATCTCTTTCTTTCTTTCTTTCTTTTTTTTTTTATTTCTCTTTTTGCTTTTTGGGTCACACCCATTGATGCTCAGGGGTTACTCCTGGCTCTGCACTCAGAAATTACTACTGGCAGTGCTTGAGGGCTGGAGCGATAGCACAGCCTTGCACATGGCCCAACCGGGTTCGATTCCTCTGTCCCTCTTGGAGAGCCTGACAAGTTATCGAGAGTATCCCGCTCGCACGGCAGAGCCTGGCAAGCTCCTCCTGGCGTATTCAATATGCCAAAAAACTGTAACAAGAAGTCTTACAATGGAGACATTACTGGTGCCTGCTCGAGCAAATCGATGAACATCAGGGGACAGTGCTACAGTGCCGGGGATTATGCCGAACTATTGTTCCAGCCCCCATACATCATCTTCTTTTGGTTTCTTTCTACTTTTGTCTCTCCCTGAAGTATGTATATATATATATATATATATATATTTATATATATGTGTATATATTTATTACTGGATATATCCAGTAATAAATGGATCTCATTTCCCTAACCCTGAATATGCAGAGTCGAGAAGGATATGGAAGGAGAGGGAGAGGCTGATAAAACACCAAGGCAGACATAGGCTGCCAAAACACAGAAAAACAAAAATGATTGTCTGTACTTTTAATGCTCGTACGCTGGCATCTACTGCATCCATTGAAGACCTTATGGTACAAGCGCGAAGATCAAGTACGACATCATTGGTCTAACCAAAACGAGAAGACATCAATCCCATCATGCTGTTTTCGACACTGGAGAAGAACTGTTCCTTGGAACATGTGATAAAAGAGGCGTCGGTGGTGTTGGTATCCTTGTCAACACAAACTTAATCACGAGCATTGATTCATTCGAATGCCTAACAACCCGAATCGGACGATTACACTTGAATAAATGTGGCTCACTACCGGCAGTTTCTATCTTTGTTGTCTATGCACCAACATCCAGTTATGGTGAAAGAGAAACTGAGAAGTTCTACATGGAGCTGGAGAAGTTCTATAAAGAAGATCACACCTTCTACAAGATCATTATCGGTGATTTTAATGCCAAGATAGGACCAAGAAGATCAGTCGATGAACTCCACATCGGAACCCATGGCCTGGAATGGAACGAACAGGGTGACAGACTGTCTGAGTTCATCATGTCAACCAAAACCTTCCATGGTAACTCACAATTCCAAAAGGCTGAATCTAAACGTTGGACATGGGAGTCTCCCGATGGACGGTTCCACAATGAAATAGACCACATCATATTCAATTGGCGGTTTTGCCTAACCGATGTTGCTGTTGTCCCAGAATTCCAAACGGGATCAGACCACCGTCTTCTTTGTGCAAAATTTTACCTCACAGAACGAGGAGAAAAGAATGCAAGGTTTAAGAAGAGGACTTCCAGAACAACCACCAACTGGGAGCTCTTTGGCTCTATTGCGGCAACATGGGAAGATGCCGTCATTGACAACATTGATGAGGAATACGATCGAATGATTCAGCACCTCCATGATTGTGCAAGGAATGCCAAGAGAGAGATAACCACAAAAAAACCGTCTTTCTTCGAACACTCTTGAACTTATTCGCCAACGTGGCTTGGCACATGCCTCAGGCAACCACAAGCGAACATCTGAACTGGCAAAACAGTGCAGAGAAACCATCAAGGATGACCTCAAAAACAGGAGAGCAGCAGTACTGGTAGATGCAGCAGAAGCTGGGAAAAACATTCGTAATGCCCGCCTGTCCTTCACCAACTACAAAACCAAGATGACTGCCCTCCGACATCATGATGGATCTATCACATCTTCCAGAAGGGCAATGGAGAAGATTATTCATGACTTCTACTCAGATCTCTTTAATAGCCACATCCACTTGCCCACATACCACATACCACATGATGGATATGTCGTTCCCAATGTTCTCCCTTCCGAAATCCAACATGCCATCTCGTCGGTAAAGAAACAAAGAGCACCTGGCCCAGACAAGATCAGACCTGAACATCTGAAGAACTTACCATCAGTACTCATCAATACATTGGCTCGACTCTTCACACGCTACCTGTCTGAATGCAAGGTTCCATCCCAATGGAAAACCAGCAGGACTGTACTACTATACAAGAAAGGAGACATCCACGACATTGGCAACTATCGCCCAATCTGCCTATTGTCTGTCATCTACAAACTATTCACTCGAGTCATCCTGAATAGGATTAGCAGAACACTAGATGAAGGACAACCATGTGAACAAGCTGGATTCCGAAAAGGATTCAGTACCATCGACCATATCCACACAATAACCAAGCTCATTGAGGTATCTCGGGAGTTCAAGATGCCGCTCTGTCTAACGTTCGTTGATTTAAAGAAGGCCTTTGATTCTGTTGAGACGGAAGCGGTCATGGAAGCCCTAGCCAATCAGGGCGTACAAACTCAATACATCAGGATCCTTCGTGAGCTCTGTTGCGGATTCACTACCAAAATCTCACCATTCTACAATGAAGTAATCATCCATATCAAGAGAGGGTTCGGCAGGGTGATACCATTTCACCAAAACTCTTCAGTGCCACCCTCGAGAACATCATGCGTCGACTGGAATGGGAAAACATGGGAGTGAAGATAGATGGTCGGCAACTACACCACCTTCGCTTTGCTGATGACATTGTTCTAATAACACCAAACATCAGCCAAGCGGCACAAATGCTGAACGACTTTGACCGTGAATGTGGAAAGGTCGGACTACAGCTGAATCTTACGAAGACAATGTTTATGAGAAACAGCCTTGTTCCTGACGCTCCATTCGCTCTCAACGGAACCACCATCCCCGAATGCAACAGTTATATATACCTAGGTCGAGAAATCAACATGATGAATGACCTGGCACCTGAGTTGCGCAGGAGGAAGAGAGCGGCTTGGAATGCCTTCAAGAGCATTGAAGAAATAACTAAAAGGACAAAGAACCTCCAGCTACGAGCACATCTCTTTGATTCCACTATTCTTCCTGCATTAACATATGCCTCAGAGACCTGGACCCTACGAAAACAGGATGAGAACGCTATTCGGGTCTCTCAAAGAGGAATTGAAAGAACTATGCTTGGAATATCACGATTCACTCAAATGAGAGATAGAATCCGGAGTTCTGATCTTCGTCAACGCTCAAGAATCAGGGACGTTGTCTCATTTGCCAAGACATCAAAAATCAGATGGGCTGGACACGTAATGAGGTTTACAGACAACCGCTGGACTAGAGAGCCATTACTGATTGGATTCCACGAGACATCAAAAGATCACGTGGACGCCCACCTATAAGATGGTCAGACTTCTTCGTCAAGACCCTAAATGATCGGTTTGAGGCTCTGCATGTTCCTAGAACGAACAGATACCATTGGGCTACGCTAGCACGCAACCGGGATGAATGGAGACGTTACTGGCACCCGCTCGAATAAATCCATGAATAACGGGGATTAAGTGATTAAGTGATATGTATATATTATATGTGTATATATGTGTAATATATTATACATATATATGTGTATTATTTTTTTATTTCTGCCTATTTTGTTGGTTTGCTTGCCAACAGGTAGGTTCCAGGATGACAGCATCTCGTCTAGTCTGTCCACAGTCCACGGGACAAAGGCGTGCACTGCTCTTGCATTTCGCCTGGGAGTAGCAGCTGAGGGCAGAATGAGACCAAGCGTGGGATTCTGCGGGAAGACGCACCTCCCCTTCCCCCACCTCCACGCCCCCCACCTCCCCCGGAGCCAGGGGCCCCTAAGCCACGCCCCAACAGCGAGCGCGGCGCGGGCGCGTGTCCCTTTAAGGCGGGCGCGACGCTCGCCGCGGCGCGGGGGCGCGCGGCCCCGCCTCGCTGTGGGGCCTGCGCGCTCCCGGCCGCGCTCCCGGCGCGCGTGCCCGGCGCGGCGCTTCCCGTCGGCGGCCGTCATGTCCCGGGGCCGAGCCCGGGTCCCGGCGCCCGCCACGGGCCGCGGCGCGGGGCTGTGATGCGGCTGGGCGGCTGGTGCGTGCGGCCGGGCCGCGGCGCGGCGGTCCCGGCGGCGGGGCGGTGCCGGGCGAGCGGGGCGCCTGCTGGCCGGCGAGGCGGCCGCGCCCTGCGGGTGCTGGTGGACATGGACGGCGTGCTGGCCGACTTCGAGGGCGGTTTCCTCCGCAAGTTCCGCGCGCGCTTCCCCGAGCTGCCCTACATCGCGCTGGAGGACCGGCGCGGCTTCTGGCTGTCGGAGCAGTACGGCCGCCTGCGGCCCGGGCTGAGCGTGAGCATCCCCCGCCCCGCCGCGCCCCGGGGAAACTGAGGCCGCGTGACCTTGGCCGGGTCACCGCCCCGGGAACCCGAGGCGCCGGCCCGACCCCCGGGGCCCGCCCGCCCGACCTTCTCTGCCCCTAGCCGCTTGGATTTTGACTTTTTTTAAGTTTCTCTCTCCCCCGGGCTCGAACCCAGGGCCTTGCACGTGCGAGCTTCCGCTCCGACCCGGAGCTGCATCCCAAGCCCTCCTTTTCTTTCGGAAATAAAAGAAGCACTGACAAGTGAAGCCCTCCTTGACTTCGCCCCTTGGACCGTCACATTCCATTTTCTTGCCCAGCCTTTACCATTCCTTCCTTCCCGCCCCCCACCCCTCTTCCCTGGGGCTGTGGGTCGCAGTGGTGCTTGAGACCCCTAGAGGCTGATTACCTAGTGAGTCAGTAGTCAAGGTGGGGTGGAATCCAGACTCCCGGACTTTCCCCTGGCCCCGTGGGTCCTGCTGAATTCATGAGCCCTCCCAGCCCCCTAAATGGCCTGTGTCCTGCTCTGGGTCCGTATTGGAATAGGGGTGATGGGGGCAGCGCTGAGCCAGGCGTGTTCCCAAGATAGCTTGGTTATACACGTCAGCTCTTTTGCAAAAGGACTAAGCTATTTTGCCATGCACAGACGTCAAGAGACACCCCTGGACTGCCTCTCCTGCTGTGAGAGCCTGTTTGGTGGGCACAGGTTGGTTCTCTGAGAGAGACAGCCCTTCCCTTAGGAAGGTGATGAGACAGGATCCATCTGGTGTCCTGGCTGATAAGGGACGCGTCAAGTGTGACTCTCTCCGACTTAGCTTTTTCCCTCCCTCAAATTCTGTCTCCCTGGCTGGCTTCAAGTGCCTTGAAAAACTGTATTTTGATTTTTTTCAGGGCAGCTATTAAAATATTGACTGCAAGACTAGGAGATAGTCCAGCAGTTCAGGCACTCCCAGGTTCAATTCCCAGCACTGTATGTTCATCCAGGCACCACTGATGTGGCCCAACGTCCATCACAAGGCTGAACTGAGCAGTCTTGTCTCTTCTGACTCCTGAGCTGACTGGCCCGTTTGGCAGACAATCACCAGTGGGGACCCCAGCCCTCCTGAGCACTGTTTGGGAGTCCCCCAATCGAATACCATTTATTGTCTTTAAAGCAGGATGCTCGAGAAACCACTTCCCTGCATCCCTTGCGGATGAGTTTCCCATTCCTGGCGCCTCATTTGAAACTTGAGCCTGGCAAAAATGCTGTTCTGGTTTATTGATATATTTGTTGGGGTGTTTTGGCCACACCCAGTGGTGCTCAGGATTTACTTCTGGCTCTGTGCTCAGGGATCCTGGTGATCACCCCTGGCTCAGGGGGCCCTATGGGGTTCAGGGATTGAACCCGGGTTGACTGTGTGCAAGGCAAGTGCCCTACCCACTGTACTATCTCACTGGTGAAAATGCTGTTCTGGTGTTTGCCGTCTGTTGCTGCATTTCCCTGCACCATATGGGTTCACTTACGGGCCGTGAGTGGCACTGACACTTGGCAAACTTATTTTTGCCCAGAAGTGCATCAGGGTATTGAAACTAGACCCACTCCAATGCTCAGAAGGAGAGTAGTTTTTCAGTCATTTGTGCAGAGTGCAGATTCCAAGCCTCAGGAGATGAAACCCTATTTCCCCAGGACTTGGCTAAGGGATAGAACTACGGAGATGCTCAGGAGGCAGTACACAAGGGGTGCTCAGCTGATTCTTACAGCTTCTGGGGACATTGTAAGAAACGGCATCAATAGATGAACACATACTCTATCCCTAGCAAAGTCTAAAGAATGACATCCTGGGTCCTTGCTTGTTTGGGCTGGTCCAGCATCTGTGGTTAAGGACAGCCCTCCAGCACCCAGCTTACATATGTAGGCATTTCTTCTTTACAACACTCGCTTATGTCTGTATTGTTTTAATTTTCAGAGTGCTCAGCAAAACAGGGAAGAAGTTGGACATATAGCTCATTTTTAGCTGAGTGGAATTAGAATCTGTTTGGAGGGGTTGGGAAGGATTTGAAATCATCTAGCAGTGTTCAAGGCCTTGCTCCTTGCTCTGTGCTCAAGGTTCACTCCTGGCAGGTCTTGCGGAACTGTATTGGGTGCTGGGGATCAAAGCTGGGTTGGTCAAATGCAACGTAAGCACCCTACCCTCTTACTATCTTTCTGGCTGTGGACTTAGAACAGTTGTTAGGACAGCTGAGGAACTGAACCTGGAGAAAGGAAGTAGCTGGAGCAGGCCTTTGAACCTGGAGAAAGGAAGTAGCTGGATCAGAAGAAGGAGGGTGGGCAGGGCAGAGATGCTAAGAATGATGCAGTGAATGCAGAGTCTCACAGCAAGAAAAAGGATCTGACCCCTGGACCCTAAGTGGAACACACTTTTCCACCAATGCATATGGCTCTGGGTTCAGTTCTGACCAGATTCCTCCTAACTGCTCTGTGAACCTCATCTGTGATTTGGGGGGATTGTCCATTCTTCCTCTGGTGAGACCTCAGGGCCACACTGGAGAGAACTTATTAGCAGGAGGTTCTTATGTGTAATTCCAAAGAGAACTGCTGGTATGTTCCAGCCATAGAGCACTGTGTGTGGCTGGTAGTAGCTGTATTTGCTCTGGAATGTGCAGCATTCAACCTGGCAGGCGATCTTCCTTCACACACGTGTGGGCTTTAGGTTCCTACTTTTCAATGGCTAAGTCTTAGCTCCTACCTTGTTACCTCTGCCCCCTCTTCTGGCCCTAGAAACTTTAAATCAGCAAAGGAATTGGGCTCAGTAGTATAAAGTGGAAACTGCTTGCCCAGGACTGGGGCAAGCTTCCATGCTCTGCTCAGTCACCTGGTTTTGCTCTGTGCTAAGTAGGCAAGCCCTTTCTCCATTGGGAGCCCCTCCTCTTCTCCTTGGATCCTTGGTCAACTGGCCTGACTCAGGTCTGCTGATGTGATGGTAACTCAGGTCTACCATTGCTGGTCACCTCTGGTGGTGCTGGGGGGGTCATGCAGTTCTGGGGCTTGAACTTGGGCCTTCGTCAGCAAGGATGTGCTGCTCCAGCCTTTGGAGCCCTTCCTAAGTCTGACTTCCATGCTTTTCTTTTATAGGGGCATCCGCTCCCACCTGCCCTGCAGTCTGGTTTGGAAGGATGCTGTACTGAGGGTCATCCAGGGCTTCATGCAAGACACGTGCTTTGCTGTTTGAGCCACATCTGCCTCCAGTCCAGCTCCCCCCCCACCTTTTTTTCCCCCTCGGAGGGGTTATAGTCCCATGTGGTGCCAAGGATCAATTCAGGGCTCCTGCGTACAAAGCGCGATGCTTCAACCCCTCATTTTTTTTCCTTTTTGGGTCACATCTGGCAGTGTTCAGGGGTTACTCCTGGCTCTACACTCAGGAATTACTCCTGGCGGTGCTGGGGGGGGGGGGGGGGCCATATGGGATGCTGGGAATCGAACCTGGGTCAGCCACGTGGCAGGAAAACGCCCTACCCGCTGTGCTATCGCTCCAGCCCCGCTTCAACCCTTTGAGCCGTCTCCCTTGCCCCCACAGCAGCGCTCTTAAGGAATCTCTGGGTTCCTCCAGATCTCCAATCTAATGACTCACGTGCCTGGTCCCCCCTCAGAGCTTCCATGATGCCTCTGACCATTTGGGGCAAGCAAATCCAGGGTGCAAGTTGGCTTTCCCCTTGTTCTCTGATGACTGAAGGGGTGTCTCTGGCATAGCTGGCTCTGGAGCCCTCAGCCCTGACACTTCAACCCTTCTCTGCTGGGTCCTTGCAGAAGTTACATGCCCCTGTAGAGGGACCACTCACAAGCAGTGTCTCTGTGCCCCCAACCTAAGGAAAAAGACAGACACACAGGCAGATGGACACCGAGACCTGGGAGACCCACTTTCTGTCAGCAGCCCCTCCCCCGCTGACTTTTCCTGCAGTGAGGCAATGTGGGATAGTCACCGCTTCTCTTCTCTTCTTAGGAGAAGGCCATGAGCATATGGCAGTCGGAGAATTTTTTTTTGGACCTTGATCCTCTTCCAGGAGCCATTGAAGCTGTGAAGGAGATGGCCAGCCTAGAGAAGTAAGTGTCTGCACCTCCTTGCCCTCCACTCCTTCCTCCACTTCCTTCCTTTCTTACTCGCCACCTCCTACCGAGGGCCATGCTCATTTCATGATTCTGAACCCAACAAAAACCGAGCTGAATTCAGCATTTCATCCATGTTGTGGTAGCTCAGATTGGTACTTTGTTCCTTTCCATTATAAAATAATACTCCATTGTATAGATAGGCCACTTTTTGCTCATTCATTTTTCCCATTTGACTTAAATCTGTTACTGTCACTGTCCTCCTGTTGTTCATCAATTTGCTCGAGCGGGCAAAACATCCTGGTGTGTGAAGTATATTTCGTTCTGATTTTTTATTTCTCTGATAACTAAAAATGTGGACATATTTTGTATGCTTGTTAGTCATTTTACTTTATTAGTCATTTGTTTACCTTATTTTTTTAGAAACATTTATTGAAATACTTCACTATTTTAAAAATTGTATTCTTTCAAAATTGTCAACTGGTAAAGGTTATTAATATATTCTAGATCAGCATTATTTATTATTATTATTATTGTTGTTGTTGTTGTTATTGTTTTTGGGCCATCCCTGGCATGCTCAGGGCTTATTCCTGGCTCTGCACTTAGGGGTCACTTCTAACGGTGCTTGGGGGACCATCTGGGGTGCCTGAGATTGAACCCGGCAGCTGGATGCAGTGCAGGTACCCTCTATACTATCTCACTGGGCCCTACTTCAGAATTCTCTAGCCTTATTACACCGGTGACCCAGCACCTATTCTGCATGCTGGTTTAGAGACCAGGGTTTTCAACCTGTTTTAGATTGTCTCTTCCTACACATATGATTTGAAAATATAACCTCTCAATTCTGTGAAGTTTTATTTTACTTTATTGATGGTCTTTTAAAATGCAAGCTTTGTTTTTGGGTCACACGCAGCATTACCCAGCCTTGGACGGCCTCCTATAAGGCATGGGCCTCAGCCCTTTGAGTCATCTTTAGTTCCAAAACAAACAAACAAACAAACAAACAAACACTGTCCTCCTGTTGTTCATCGATTTGCTTGAGCGGGCCCAGTAACGTCTCCATCGTGAGACTTGTTGTTACTGTATTTGGCATATCGAATACGTCACGGGGAGCTTGCCACAGGCTTTGCCGTGCGGGCAAGATACTCTCGGTAGCTTGCCGGGCTCTCCGAGAGGGGCAGAGGAATCGAACCTGGCTCGGCCAGGCTGGCTGCACACAAGGCAAATGCCCTACCACTGTGCTGTCTCTCCAGCCCAACTTAAATCTACCACAGTCTTTGGCTGTATTTGGATGAACTGCTTAGCATGGACTCAGGCTTCTGGGGTTACACAGTCTGTCTCATGTCAGGGTTTCTTGTGATTCTCTGCTGTTGTCAAGTTATTGAACTCTCTGGATGCAGAGAGTTCTGTAAAATGAGGATAATGAGAAAATCCCCAAGCTGTACTTGACACATATTAGGTACTCAGTAAATGTTAGTGCTATTATTATTATTATTCTATTATTCTGTTAGTATGGGAGTGGTTCGGCCATATATATTAGCTGGTGTTCAAGGGCTGTTCCTGGCTCTGTGCTGGGGGGTCACTCCCAGAGGTGCTTGGGGGACCATGTGGTATTGGAGAGCAAACCTGGACCTCCTGTATGCAAAGCATGCACTTATCTCTTTAACTATCAGACTTGTTCTCCAACACTTGCTGAGTCTTCAGGGGCGACGTGTTTTAGTGGTAGAGCACGTGTTTGGCCTGTGTGAAAGCCTGGTTTCTTCTCTCACTGGTACTGCAATAAAACAAGAAGCAAAACAAAACAAGAGAAAAGACAAACAACTCAATACTCTTTAACAAAATCAGTGAGAGACACATTGAATGAATGTTTCTTTTGTTTATTTATATATTTATTTAGTGCCATACAGGATGCTCAGGGGCCAGATCCTGGCTCTGTGCTTGGGGGTCTCTCTTGGCTGTGCTTGGGAAGCCATGTTTTCCTGGTGATCAAGCCTGGGCTCCTGTAGTAAGGCATGTGCTTCATACCAGAGCTATCTTTCTATCCTCGAATGAAGATTGACTGTAGCACTTCGCAGAGAGTTTTCTTTGCTAATGTGCAATGTGACTCCTCATTGGGATAGCAGGGAATACAGTCTTCTTCAAATATATTCTATTCTGGAACCCTTTCCTTCACTACAGCTTCCCTATGAATGCCTTTCAGAAATTCTGGTCTGGAAATGCATGTCTGGAACACCTCCTCTGAGGCTGTTAACTGGGGAAGGTTTGCTGTAGCCGGTCAGTACCCCGCCATGTAGAAAGAGAGGGGTGCAGTCAGAATCTTGGTGAGTAACTGCATGTCTTGTGCTGAGGCAGACAGAGATCAAGTTTGTTTGTTTATTTCTTATTTCTTTGGTTTTGGGGCCGTGCCCAATCGTGCTCAGGGCTTGCTCCTGACTTTGTGCCCAGGGATCACTCCAGGTGGGACTTGGGGTACTGGGGATCAGGCCTGGGTCAGCTGTACTCAAAGAAAGCACCCTACCCACTGTACTATTGCTCTAGGCCCAAATTGTTTTGTTGTTTTTGGGCCACCTGCAATGCTCAATGGTTACTGCTGGATCTGCACTCAGGAATTAATCCTGGCAGTGCTTGGGGGATCGTCTGGGGTGCCACGGATGCACACAGGCTGTGTGCAAGGCAAATGCATTACCTACTGTACTGCTTAGATGAGACCAGGTTTAAATTGTAGCTTTTCTTGGGGGTAGAGGGAGTTGGGCAACACCTATTGTGTTCAGAGCTTACTCTTGACTCTGTGCTCAGGGATCACTCCTGGTGATGCTTAGGTGACCATATGTGGCTCAGGGATTAAATCGGGGTTGGCTGTGGCCTTGCCCCCGTACTAAAATGTAGTTTAATGAGAGCTGGAGAGATAGCTTAACATGCTGTGTATGTTCCCATTAGGAGGCCCCGGTTTAATTCACTCGGTGCCCTGAGAACCACCAGGAATGATCCCTGAATTCAAAGCCCAGAAGTATTAGGGGCTATCATCCCATCATTGTGGTGCATCAGTTTGGTCCCTGTGTCTCTCTCTGCATGGTCACCAGGCTCCTATCTTTCCACTATAAGCACCTTAAATGTCCTTCCTTGAAAGAGGTCTTTTCTGACCTCCACAGTCCTCCCAGTCCACTGCCCCATTCCCTTGGGTTTGTACTCAAGCTGAGATTTTGTGTCTCTGTTTTTCCCTGCCTCTTCAAGCAAATACTGGATGTATATATGTATACTGCATAATGGTTATTCTTTTAAAATGAGTTCTTTTTTCTCTTTTTTATTTAGCAAAAGTATTAGGTATTGTCCACATCAGTACTACATGTTATTTATCATACACATCTATCATTTATTTAATGATTTCCATATAGACAGTTGGTTGTTTTTCTTTCTTGTTTTGTGGCAATGATATGGATTGAACCCAGTGCCTCTCATGTGCAAGGCAAGGTCTCTCAGCCAAGCTACATCCCCAGCCCTGATTCTCATTTTCACATGTATGTCCAGGCTATAGTGAGCATCTTGCTGTAATTTGTGTAGATATTTCTGTGTAATAGTCCATGGTCGGACCAAAACCAAGTGCGCCGAACAGTTTGAATATAATGGATACTTCGTGATAGATGCTACCCTTTTGAGGGATGAGCACACACAGCAACTAACATAGTATGTTCTACAATGAAATGCGCTTTCTCAGTATGAAAGATCTTTTAAGGGGATATATGATGTATGAAACAACTAAAAAAACTTATTTCAAGTCAATGCCAACAGATAAGTGAGTCATACTTAAAACTTTCCAGAGTTTGGAATCAGTTTCAATATATGTTGAATCAAATAAATCTATGAAAAAAAAAAGAAATGATATTTGAAGAAATGAGCACGTTCTCGTGATTGTGATGGGCTTTTGAATTTGGTCCCTTCAAGAAAACAAAACAAACCACAAAATAACTTGCTTTTAGAAAGCCTATGGCTTGTGGTAAATTTTTGCTTGCTTGCAATTTGGGGATTCAAATCCAGATCTTTACACAGGTGAGGTATTGTGCTCTGCTGTTGACATATTCTCCCTAGCATACAAATGGTTAATATTTGGAAATTAAAATATAGGATACCAAGTCACTTATAATCTCACGAATTTTGTTGCATTCACATATATTTCCCCCATAAATGTATAGTAATAGATATAAATCCAAATGTGTTTTAAGCAGTAATTAACATTTGTCAAACCAAGTCTTCTTATTATAGAGGAAGACATCCTAGAGTTGTACTTTTGAAGGAAACACCGCTCTTTTAAAGCTGTGTTTAAACATGCCTCTTAATAGCGCTATTGTGGAGCCTGAAATAAAAGGCTCTTTATTCATTCACTAAAATGAATTTTTATCCCTTTTTATGTGCCTGGCACTGTGCTAACTACTGGGGATATGTTTGTAAGAAAGATACCTAAGGTCTCAGGCAGCAAGGAATTTTGGTTATATTAGGGAAGATGAAACAATTGAACAGAATAATTTCAGATGGCAATATTTTTTGTGAAGGAAATGAACACAGTGCTATGTTGGAGTAAATGGGGAGGGAGCTACCTCAGGTGGAGCAGAAGTGCCAGGAAGATGACCCGGGAAGAGTCAGCCCTTGCTTTTTCCTTCAGCCCCTCTGCCCCTCTCGGAGAGCCCGGCAAGCTACCGAGAGTATCTCGCCCACATGGCAAAGCCTGGCAAGCTCCCCGTGGCTATTCGATATGCCAAACACAGTAACAACAAAGTCTCCAATGGAGACGTTACTGGGCCCGCTTGAGCAAATCGATGAACAATGGGAGGACAGTGCTACAGTGCCACGCAAAAGCAAGTAAAGCAAGGACTTTTCCTATTTGAGTCACAGAAAGATAACATTAATGTTGTGACTAGAATGAATTGATGACATGGGAGGAGAGTGAAAAGAGAATGTGATCGAGCTTAGGGTTTAAATACACAGACTTGGGGCCATAGATCTGAATTAACATTTCTCTAAATAAAACACACTTTGGCCAGCAAATGCACAGAGTTGTGCTTTATCATCCATAGTCATTAGGAGGATTCAAACCCAAACCACAAGCAGGAAGCACCTTGCATCAGTGAAATAACTAGAATAAAAATAGTCCCATGACCGTTTACCGTTTTTGAAGATGCAGAGAATTCGAAACAGTCATTATTGCTGGTGAGATCATAAAATGACATGTCTGCTGTGGAAAACATTTTCTCAAAATATTAAATATGAAGTTACCCTGTGAGCCAGCAGTTTGATTCTTAGGAATACCATGGGGAACAGAACCAGACAAAAACTTTTGCAGGAATGTTTCTAGCAGCACTAGTCACACTCAGAAAGGTGGGAGCAGCACAGATGCCCACTAGCTGATAAATAAGTAAACCGAAGGTGGTATATTCAGACTGTGGGCTGTCACTGAACAAAGGAAGATATGACACATTGATATGCTCTGCACTGTATCGGATACTTGAAAACATGCTGCATTAAAGGAGCCAGTTAGGGTTCCATTAACTTACATGCCCAGAGTAGGCAATTCATAGAGAGCCCCCCCCCAAAAAAAAAAAAAGTGGTTTCCTAAACCTCAGAGCAGGACTAGGAAGTCACTGCCTCCCCTTCCCTTCCCTCTCCCCTCCCCCTCCCCCTCCACCTCTCTCTCCTTCCCCGTGCCCCTTCCCCTTCCTCTTCCTCCCCCTCTCCCTCTCCCTCCCTTTTAAGAAGCAATACAAGGACCAGAGATACAGTATAGGAGCTAAGGCACTTTGCCTTGCATACAGCGGTCCTCATTCCATTCCTAACACTCCATATGGTCCGGAAAGCACTTCCAGGTGTCACTCCTGAGCACAGAACCAAGAGTAATCCCTGAGCACTGCTGGCTGTGCCCCAACAAATAAAAAAGAAGGCAGATACAGCACATGTTTGAATGAGTAGTGATTGGAAAGGGAATCCTACAGGGTCAAAGTCCTTGTGAAGATTGGTGGAAAGAGTCCTGGGCTTATGGAGGGCGTGGCTAGAGTGGGGGATGCCTCTTCCTCGCTGTCAGGAGTAGGTGAGGAATTGAGGCCTGGGGCAGACCTGGAGGCAAGGGTGTGCACACAGCAGGGTGCTGAGAAGGTCACATGCTTGCTGCTGATGGCACTGCTTTAAGGCAAAACTGTCGACCAAGTATGGGAGGTAGAGAAGGGGAAGTTGATTGCTGGGTTCTTCCAGGACCGACAGGCCTCAGTGGAGGAAGAGAAATCAGGGGTGAGCCCCAGTGAAAGGGATGGGGGGCCGGGAGGCTGGGCATAGGGAAAGAATGGCAGAGCCCAGTCTTGGCGAGGGGTAGAGTGGACGGTGGTAGAATGTGTTTGCTGGAACAGGAGTGGGTGGTGGTTAGAGGTCAGAGAGGCATTTGGCAGAAGTGTCCACCAGGTCCAGGAGATGGCAGTGGAGGAACACGGACTAGGTCGGGAGGAGGTGTCCAGCGGGGAGGGGGAGGAGCAGGGAGTCTTGCATGAGTTGCATGAGTTGGTGGGCATGAGTGTAGCCAGGGCATGAGTGAGCCCTGAGGCTGGGGAGGGCAGGGTTGATGACTGACAGGTGGCAGCAGTGGGAAGGGCAGCTGGGGTCTGGCCCCCCAGAGTCTGGGACCTGAAGTAGAGAGTGGAGACTCAGGAAGACTCTTTCACAGCATATAATCTCCGAGGCAGGTCAGGAGCAGAGATAAACAGCTTCCTGGGAGACTCTGTTTCTGGGAGCAGAGGCTGAGTGCTGGGGGACAAGCCTTGTGCATGGGGTCGGCAGAGGCCTGCCGAGAGGGCAGAGACATAGCAATGAGAAGGCACATGCCTAGACCTCAGTGGGGACTCACTTGCCAAAGAGAAAATGAGGCAGGAAGGCCTGTCCCCTGCCAACAGATGCAGGTACCAGGTGATGCCAACTTGGGGGGTAGGTGGGTGAGGGGCGTTGTGTACCATGGGGCTCAGGCCTGGGCTGGTGGGCTGGAGGGCACCAGAGTCCCTTCTAGGCAGCCCACCTGCATTGACCCAGCACCGCAAGCTATGGGCACATCCCTGCCTGTCTCGAGGAGATATTCATCCACAGGGACTTGGCCGGGCGTGGACCTGGCTCCCGCCCTCTGCGGCCCACTGCCTGGCACCTTGGTTGTACATGCTAGGTCTTCTGTTCTGTGTCGCAGGAACTCCTGACTTTCCATCGAGTAGCTCACCCTGCTTCTTCTTCTTCCCGTCACTAGCTTCTTCCTGGGCAGGTGGCTGAGAGCACTCAGTTTGGCTGTGCTGTGGGTTTGGCTGCACTGAAGTCAGCGGCTTGCTTCCCCTGTGCTGGCTGCCGGCCATGGGGGTTGGGGGTGGTGGGGAAGGACCCAGAGCAGCGGGTCTTCTGATCCAGGTGAGGGCTCAGCCCCTGAGAGGACCCAGCGGCCAAAGGATGGGAAGGCAGGGCAGGGGTGGCAAGGGGGGCGGAGGGCCACGGCTCACTCTCCTTTCTCTCTCCACAGCACGCATGTCCTCATCTGCACGAGCCCTATCAAGATGTACAAATACTGTCCTTACGAGAAGGTAAGATGCAGGCACGCAGCTGGGCCTTGCTTCCCTTTACTGCGAGGGGCTGACACCCCTTCAGGCTGGCGGCTGCTGCCACCTTTGCCTCCTCTCCCTGGATCCTTCCGTCTGCATGGCACAGCCTGGCCTGAGAGCCTCCCATAGCAACATAGGAAATTCTGCCTCATTCTCTGCACAGAGCCTGTTGAAGACGCCAGGACCCCTGGGGAGGGTAGTTCTGTCCCGTCCACGTGAGCTCCACTGCCCATGGAGGGCTCCCCAAGGATGAGGCAGGAGAACAAACCCCCATCGTCATCTCAGGGCAGCCTCCGAGAGTTCAGTCTGGTGACCAGTTGTTAGATTCTGTTGCTTTTGGCCTTTTGTTATTCCCCTGCTGTGCTTTTTTATATCCCACATACGAGAGAGATGTTTCTGCTTTCTTCTGACTAACTTCACTCAGCATGATACTCTCTCGATCCATCTGCATAGCAGAAAATTGCTTGATTTTGTCTTTCTTTCCCCCTCCAAATTGCTGAGTAGTATTCCATTGTGTCTGTGTATCATGGTTTCTTTATCTATTTGTTCTTGGACACTGGGCTTGGCTGTTTGCAGATTTTTGGCCATTATGAACAATGCTTCAAGGAGCGCAGATGTCTTTTCTGATGAGAATACTTGGACTCTGAGGGTAGATGCACAGAAGTGGAATCCTGGGCCATATGGAAGCTCAATTCTTAGTTTATTGAGATGTTTTCATATTGTTCGGAAAGGCTGGACCAGGTGACATTCCCACCAAGTGGATAAGCGTTGCTGTTCCTCACACCCATGCCAACGCGGTTGTTATTCTTTGTGGTGTGTGCCAGTCTCACTGGTGTGAGAAAGTATCTTGTTGTTGTTTTGATTTTCGTTTCCCTGATGATCAGTGATGCAGAGCGTTTTTTCATATGCTCATTGGCCATCTGTACGCATCCTTTAGGAAAGTTTCTGTTCATCTCTTCTACCCTTTTTTTTAATGGGACTGGTTATTTTCTTCTTACTATTTTCTTCTTAATATCTTGGATATTGGCAGGCTAATGTTCTCTCTCCATAGTCTGTGGCATGTCTTTTTATTCTAGTCATTGTCTCTTTTGCCGTATAGCAGCTTGTTTGTTTGATTATTCCCATTTATTTATCATTATTCCATTTGCTTGGCTGATAACATTGAACCATTGAAGATGCCTCTAGAATTGATGTCATGAAGTTTCTGCTTATATTTTCCTCAATACATTTTATGAATTCAGGTCTAATATTGGGGCCTTTAATCCAGTTTTTATTGACTTTTGTGCATGACATGAGAAAACGGTTTGAGTTGATTTTTTTCATGTGTGACTGACCAGTTTTCCTCAGCATTGCTTGCTGAGGAAGCTTTCCTTGCTCCATTTCACACTCTTAGCTCCTTTGTCAAAGATCAGGTGACCATACACTGGAGGGAACAAGCTGCCTCTTTAAGTGAACAGACAGAAAGTGCGCCAACGGTTTCTCTGTCCCATCTCACAGGGCCAGTATTGCCCACTTGGGGAAACCTGGGGCTAGAGTAAGTCTCCGCCAGGGTTATCGCAGATGGGACGGTCAGTTATTGTTCTGCACTTGTTGGAATGAGCCGGATTGCCCCTTTTCAGTCATCCTTGCCTGTGGATTTCAGCATCAACTTTATCTGAGCACCCGACCTGTGAAGCCTTTGCCCAGGACTTACCTCTGACTGGACCATTCAAACACAATGTGTCTGGGGCTGCAGAGATGGTAGTCTTGTTTGTGGCTGACTTGGGTTCGATTACCAGGTCCCACCAGGAGTGATCCCTGAGCTCAGAGCCAGGAGTAAGCCCTGAGTGCTTCTGGCTGTGGCCCTAAAGCAAACAACACACACACACACACACACACACACACACACACACACACACCCCTGAAGTGTCCGTCCATGGGGCACTGATGACCCATCTGTGTCCATCCCCTCCTCTCAGACTGGAACCACTCAGCCATCCAAGTGGCATCCTTCTCCTCCCCATCACTTGAGCAGCCCAGAGGTTGTATTTCCTGTCAAGATTATTTATATAAAGGATATGTGGCAACTGCCTACTTTTCTGTTGCGACCGGGTTTTCGCATTTTAATTTCTTCTCAAGCTACTAGTTGCCTCCTAAACAGTCTTCATTTCATTTCCATTCAGAGGTAGGGAGGTTCTTTCATAAAACAGATCATGTCAACCTACTATGTAAAAGTCTTTTAATGGTTCCCCTCTGCACTTAAAATAGAAACACACACACACACACACACACACACACACTCCTTGACATAACCTATAAAGTCTTGGCTGCCTGTTTCGTGCACCCTGAACTCCCGTCTTTCATTCACACACTACACACACACACACACACACACACACACACACACACACACATCCCTTCTGCATGTCTGACTCCTCCTCAGCCGTGAGGCTCAGGAGCCTCCCTGCATTTCCTGACCAGATCAAAAGTGTAGCCTTTGCCTTGTTCCTAGGTAGCACTTAGCACCTAGCACCATTGGGAGCAGGTTTGTTTCTTTATCTCTGTCTCTCTGCCAGTCTCTTTCCTCCAAGGAGGCAAGATCGGCGAGGCAGGGGCCATGTCTGTCTTGCTTACTCCTCACCTCAGCATCCAGGCAGACTCACTGCCAGCTTTGATGCCTGGTATGACGCAAAGAGATTACTTGGTTCAACAGAGAGTGATCAGAAATCCTTTACTAATGAATTTTGCTGTTGATTTAGCACCTTTATTATGCAGGCATTATGCTTTATTATTATATCTATGGTGGGGGGGGTTGCAGATCTCTCCTCTGACCTGACAGATACAGAGGCTGAGGGAGATGAGGCAGCTCACTGATCACGTGTCCCCCCGTGCCCACGGCATGTGTCCCGAGCCTTCCACTGCTGCTGGCCATGGGGCTCACTTGGTGAAGAAGCTTTCGAAATGAGTGAGCGTGAGAACAAAGGGAGCTCCTTCTAAGCCTGCAATCAGCGGATCCATATTTTGGTGCTGTTGTAAAAAATTTTGTATTCAGCATCCAAATATATAGAAATGCAAGTGACCTTGTGTCCCATTATTTTGTTAAACTTACTAGTTTGAGTAGCTTGTGGAAGCAGGAAGTGCTCAGGCCTTCCTTCTGTCCCTGTGCTCAGGGTTCAGTCCTGGTGGGGCTCAGAGGACCCTGGGCAGTGCCAGGGTTTGAGTCAGGGTTGGCTTATGCAAGGCCTGAACTCCTCTGCTATCCCTCCAGTCCCTCTACGAACTTTTTAATATTTCATTTGGGACCCTCGAAGCTTAGATGTGATCCCTGACCTCAAGGAATTTGCAGCTAAGTGGGGTCAGGGAGATGTGAAACAAGTAGTTAGGCAAATAGGTAGCGACATCTGTCACTACCCCTAGGCAGGAACTTGGTCTGAGAAGTCAGGGACGGTAAAGGGAGTGACGGCTGAGCAAGAGGCAGGGCCTGGCTGGGAGCGAGGGTGCACATATCCGCACATGCATGTACAGTAGGGCACATGTTTCACATGTGAGTATGTACGTCATGGTGCGTGTCTGTTATGTACACGTGTGTATGCAAGTGTGCAAATAGGTATGTACACTTGTACGTATGTGCATACGTACATATGTGTGTCTGTCTCTACATAGTCTGCATGTGTGTCCGTGTCTGCGTGCGTGTGTCTGTCTCTGCACATGTGTCAATTTCTGTGTGTCCATGTCTGCATGTGTATCTGTCTCTGCATGTATTTCAGTCTGAGTTTGTGTCAGTGTCTACATGCCTGTTTCTGTCTCTGCATATGTGTCAGTTTGTGTGTCCATGTTTGCATGTGTGTCTGTCTCTGCATATCTCGTGCACATGCATGAAGCTGTGAGCTCATGAGGCCTATGACTGCCGTGTGTGGGGAAGCCTCTCCAGGTCCGTGCCTGAGGATGGGCGGCAAAGGGCTGCAGGCAGAGGAAATGACCTGTGAGCAGCACCGTCCAGAGACCTGGAGACAGTCCGTGACACTGGGACAGGAGCGAGGGGTGACGGCAGGCTGGAGTGGGGCGAGGCATCTGTGGGTGCTCTGCCTGGCTCGCTGCCTCACTGCCCTCCCTCTCCGGAGGGGTCTTTGCAGGCTGTGAGGGTCTCCTCTTCCCTGGCCGAGCTTATCTGTGCGCCGTCTGCTCCTCACTGTTTCTTCCGGGAGGGCAGTGGTATGGAGGTCCCGAGGTTGCTCCCGCCCCCCACTGGGGGCAGATCCCTCACCTGCTCAGCTCTGCCTCAGCCATACCTGGCACACTCAGGGCCACCCCTGCCAGGCTCCGGGGGAGGGCGCTGGCTTGCAAACGGCAGAGATTCAGAAAGACGTTGAAGGGTGTGGGAACCCGGCTGGCTTCTAGAGCCCCCTGTGAGGCCCGGAGGGCGACTCCTCCTCTGACCCTTACTGTGCTGTGGGGATCTTGGCTGGCAGTGTCGGGAAGGAAGGGCCCTGAAACTGCTCCACCCTCCTGTGGGCATGGACTGCAGGTCGGGGGCAGCGGGGGGCCCCTGTGGAAGGGAGATGCCCCCTCTGCCTTCCACTCTGTGCACCCCTGGCTCCCCTAGGAGCTCCCAACTTTTCATCTGTTCTCAGGACCTGCCCTCGGGCCTTAGCTCACTGGGCCCAGCCCTCATGAAGGCCGCTCCTTCCACAGGTCCTTGGGGCCTGCTGGCTTCAGGGACGAAAGAGCAGCGTCTGTTCTCTGCTGACATCTTGCCAGGGCCACAGGACACTGACTGTTCCACTGTCTTTGAGCCCCACCCCCATCTCCTTGTCCCCAGTGGGTGTGTGGCTGGCGGAAGTCCCTGTCCTGTGTGTGAGGTGGTGGGTAGGGGCGCCTTTGCTGCCCTGGGGCGGGGCCCAGGGAGCAGGCAGCCACCTCAGGGCTGCTCCCTCCCAGCCTGGAGGACAGACACAGGCTCTCCCATCTGATGGAGGACAGGCATGGCTTCCCAATCTGATGGCGGGTGCTTTCTTTTCCCCTGCTCTGTGCCAGTATGCCTGGGTGGAGAAGCACTTAGGCACGGACTTTCTGGAACACATCGTGCTGACCCATGACAAGACTGTGGTCTCCGCTGACCTTCTTATAGATGACCGGCCGGACATCACAGGCAAGTAGCCTGCGGAAGGTGAGCAGCTGCTCAGACCTTGCAGGCAGAGCTCCTGCCCACCCTTAGCCCTGTGCCCACCACCTCCTGCCTGGAAGAACCGTTTCTGGAAAGGGAACTAGGAAAAGCCCGGAGAGGTACTGAGCCTATGGTCCTTGCAGCCTCCCTTCCTTCCTAAAATAGGAGCCAGAGTTCGACTCCTAAATATTTGTTCTTAGCCGGAGCCCCTCCTCCTCTCTTTCGAGAGGGGTCCCCACTCCTGGCAGGGCTCAGGGGATCTTACGGGGTATGAGGATCACACCAGGGCAGCTGCATGCTTGGCCAGCACCTTCACCTGGGTGCTGTCTCTCTGGCCCCCAGCAGAACCCTTTTCTAGTCTCCAAAGCAATTCAGACAGAATCTCATCTCTAAAGCAGAAGTGACACATTGTCTCTTCAGCTGAAGGTGGTCTGAGAGGTGAGTCTGCCCCTGGCTGGCCTATTCTCTCAAACCCCAGACAAGTCCACCTGGAACAGACACAAACGAGAAAGACGATTTCTGGAGCACCTCGCTGGGCAGGCAGGGTGCAGGACCACATGGCCACCACAGAAGCAGCCCGCCCTCTTCCCTTCCCGGTGGGGTTCAGGGCCAGCCTGGATGGAGGGTGATAGCCACATCTGTTCCAGCCGCACCTCTCCCACTGGGTGCTGGCAGAGGCTGTGAGCAGACAGAGAGCCCACCCGACACCACTGCCCCCTCCCTCTGTCAGGGTCCCTGGGGTGCTCCCAGCAGTGCCCCTGTGGACATGCACACAGGAGGGTTTGAAGTTGGAGTGAGGATGAGGCTGTGGGGTTCATGCTTCACCCCTTATGGGCTGCTGCCCAGTGCAGGACAGGGGGCTGACGGTGGGCTGAGGGGCCAGAGAGACAGTGCAGTGGGTAGGGTTCCGCTTTACACACGGCCAACCTGGGTTTGATTCCCAGCACCCATATGGTCCCCTGGGACCTGAGCACTGCCAGGTATGGCCCCCAAACTAAAGCCAAAATCAAAACCAGAGTTGGGACTGAGTCTGCAGAGTGACAACGTCAATCTCACAGTGGCCGTGGCAGTGACCAGTCCATGGTCACTCCGCCAAGCACCCAGCTCCCTGGACCCTGTGCTTCCTGGGGGCATCTAGGTAATGCTGGCAGGCGCTGCCCACTGGGAGCTGGCTTCCTGGGGAGGCCGTGGCAGTGGCCGGCTGCTTGCTCAGCCCCCCGGGGCACAGCCTCTGGCTCCCAGCTCGCCTGAGTGTTGCTTTTCCTCCCACAGGGGCCGAGCCGCACCCCAGCTGGGAGCACATCCTCTTCACCGCCTGCCATAACCGCCACGTGCAGCTGCAGCCCCCCCGGCGCCGGCTACAGTCCTGGGCCGACGACTGGCGAGCCATCCTGGACAGCAAGCGGCCCCGCTGAGTGGACTCGGGGCTCTGTGCTCTGGGGTGATGCCCTCTCGCAGCGCAGCCTCCCATGGGCCTCGAGCTGCCCTGGGGGTGGGCTGCGGGGCTTGAGGCCACCGGGAGCACTGAGGATGTTGTGTGGGAGCCCAGCAGCCCCTGGCCACTCAGGGAAGCCCTTCCAGGTCTGCACCCACTGGCATTGGCGTGGGGTCCATGAGGGGAGCTGGCTGCCTCCCGGGCAGTGTGCAGTAAGAGGAGAAGGGAATGAGCCCCCACTTTCTCAGCCCAGGCCCCCAACTCCCTGCCGGCCTCTCCGCCCAGCACAGCACAGGCCTGAGTGTTGGAGGCACGAACAATAAATGCTGTCCACTGGGTGCTGGCCCCGCGGCCTTCTCTCATCCCTTCCACGGGCTTCTAGTCCTTCAGTCAGTGCCCGTGTGCCCTGGAGGGATGAGTGGCTGGGGGTGGGGGGTGGGGGAGCCTGGAGCAGCAGCATTGCCCCGGAAGGGAGGAGTGCCGGAGGGGTCCTGTGCACATGCCCACCTGCAGTGCCGGCAGGACCCTCCTTCTCACCCACCTCCCTCTCTCCTGGGTTCTCCCAGGATTCCAGGAACTGGTGGGGAGGGAAGGGCTCGTGCAGAGGCTCAGCGTTTGTTCCTCAGCCATAAGACAGCAGCTGCTTGAACCCCTTTCTCCACAGGTGGGAGTGGGTGTCTGTCCATGGGCCAGGGGAGAGGTGCCAGGGGAGGGGTGATGGGAGATGAGAAGGGGGTCAGACAGCTGGGCCCAGAACAGGGCTTGCTCCACAGGCCTTCTGTGCCCGTGGCTCCTGGCCCGTGTGTGTGGGGTGGGGACAGGGACATCCTCACGTGACCAGGCAGGGTCAGGAGTCCTGGGCAGCTGCTCCCGGGAGTCTCGCTCACCCCTCAAGGGATACTGCTCAAGCACCTGTGCTCAGCCTGTGGCCTCCTGATCTCGCAGCCCCCCTCGCCCCCCTCCCCCACATGCCTCTGGCTCTCAACCCTTCTTCCCAGGGAGCTCCTCCCCCTTACTCTGGTCTAGATTCCCAGGCCCCAGGGAGCCCCCTCTCCCATTCTCTCATCTAGAATCCCAGGCCTCCTGGGAGCCCCCCAGCCCTCCTCCTCTTGTCTGGATTCCTAGGCCCCCAGGGGACCCCCCACTTCTCACATCTAGAGTCCCAGGGAGCCCCTCCTTCCCTCCTTCTCTCGTCTAGATTTTCTGGCCTCTAACCCTGGCTCTGGCCTGAGGATGCTGCAGTCTCTGGACTCGGGATTCAGGGTCTGAGTTTCAAGGTGTGTGACCTCCTGCTGCTTACGAGCCCTGGTGTGCCTGTGAGGATGGCCAGGGCAAGCAGCGACCCCAGCCTGGTGCGGGGACACGGCTGGCTGTGCTCCGCAGGGCAACATTGAGAGCCACACATTTGTGGACAAACTTGGGGACATGGCTGCTCCTTGGCCCCGAGGGGGCCGTTTTCCCTGCCCGGACCCCTCCTCAGGGTACACTTAGACACCCTGCCCTCCATCTGTGACTCCCAGCCTCCGTGACTGGTGGTCTGGCTCTCAGGTCACTCCTAGCTCTGTGCTCAGGGATCACGCGTTGGGGGACCATGTGGGGTATCGGGGACTGGACATGGGTCAACAGCGTGCAGGGCAAGCACCCACCCCTCTACTATTGCTCTGGCCCCCAAACCTTTGCGTTGAAACAGACTGCTGTCCTGAGCTTATATTTTTTTTGGGGGGGGGGTGCAGTCTACCCAGCGGAGCTCAGGGGTCCAGCGCCACCCACAGTGATGTTTCCTGGCTGTGTGGGGCTGGGTGGTTCAGTGGTGGGGCGGGGGGGGGGGGTTCAGGGCTGCTCATGCTGGGGGCCTACCCTTGGCAAGTACCAGGGGAGGGGTCACGTGGGCCAGGCACAAGAGCCAGCCCTTCGAGCCAGCTGGGTGTTTCGGGGCACTCTAAGCTTTCAAACCTGAATCACCCTGTTTGTTCCAGCTCAGCTAGAGTCACATCCTGGGCCAGCAGCCACTTTGTTCCGGTTAGTTTCTGGATAAAGACCTAGGGGCCAGAGAGACGCCCAATGGGCGGAGCATGTTCTCTGCATCCAGGAGGCCCAGGTCCCCTCCAAAGCATGGCGAGGGTCCCTGCACACTGCCAGGAGAGCGTCCCCCAGCGCAGAGCCGGGTGAGCCCCCAGACCCAACCAGAACAAAGCTGCAGAGCCCTTGGTCTTTGGTCAGGAGGTATCCCTGGTGGTGACAAGCAGTGAGAAGGTCCACAGAGCCTTGCTGCGTGTGGAGAGCACGGCAGGCCCCAGCTGGCTGCGGGATGGGGTCTGGTGGGAGAGGGGGCACCCAGGCTGAAAGGGTGTAAGCAGAGGCCTTGTTGGGAAGGAGGTGGTGGGGAGTGGGCAGAGCAGGGCAGGAAGCTGGTAGCAGCACCCAGCATGGGGTTATCTGGGGCGAGAAGGGGGCCCTGGAACTCCAGGCTTTGGGATTTCCTGTCAATCAGGACCAGCCCCAGAGACACGAAGCATAAGCTCTGCTTCAGAGCCGTGGAATGAATTGCCAAAAAGGAAGTTTCTCCCCTCGAACACTCTCCACACTGCCCTCCCGGCACAGCGGCCTCTCGCCCCCTTCTCTGCCTGGCCTCAAAGTACCTCAGTGCTCGTCACAAGCAGACACGAATCCTTTAGGGTGTGTTGGTGAAATCAGGCTCTGGCAGCAGAGCCCCTGGGAGTAGATGCCTCCAGGGAGCTGGGGCTTTTATTTTTCATTTATTTTGGGGCCATCTCTGCTCAGAGCTGACTTGACTGCTCAGGGATGACTCCTGGCCGGGCTTGGAGCATATGTGGTGCTGGGGATTGAATGCAGATTAGCTGCGTGCAAGGCACGCACCCTACCGGCTGTGTATCTCTGGCTGTGTATCTCTCTGCCGCCTTGCCTGGGCCTTTAGAAGTTTCTTTACTCTTTTGGGTCACTATCTATTCCACTATCTCAGCAGCCATATAGCAGCCACAACCACAATGGCCACAGCAGCCATAGTCACAACCACAGCAGCCACAGTCACAACCACAGCAGCCACAACCATAGCAACCATAACCACAACAGCCACAACCTCAATAGCCACAGCAGCCACAGCCACAGAAGCCAGAGTTCTAGCAGCAGCAGCCACAACCATTTATGTCTGTAGGTGGTACTTACTGTGTTCTTGGTGCCAGCCAGCACTTGACGTGGCCTTCTCACCACTCGTGCCATGGTGCGACCTCATCAGCGGGGCAGTGGTCCATTCAGGGCAGGCCTGTGGTGCCAGGGATGCCTGGCCTGGGCCTCATTCCTGCTGCTTCTCGGCAACACTCCCCCTCCCTCCAGGTTCTCTAAGGCGTTCAGTGGCAGTGGTCCAGCGCTCCTGCCAGGGGGCACTCGGGGGCTTGGGGAGGATGGGCAGGAGGGTCGAGCTAGGTCCAGCTGTTCCCGAGGCCAGGACAGAGGGCAGCCCCGGAGCAGTCAGAGGAAGAGGCTCAGGAGTAAGCCCCCTGACTAAATGGGCCTTTGGCAAGAATGCCCTGCCCAAAGAAAGGAAGGGCAGGGGTCATGGGGACATCTGGGAACAAGAGGGGAGGACAAGGCCTAGGAAGCCCCACGCGAGAGAGTGACTGACTTGTCACTGGGTAAACTCCTGCTGGAGTGGGGAGAAGCCAGGTCCCCAGGAGGGTCCACCCGCCATTCTTTGCTGGTTCCAAAGGGCAAGGGGAAGAAAGAGGAGGGGGGTCAGCAGAAATCCCAGCGGGTGGACGCACTCTTGGGAAGAGGTGCCCGTAGGCTCCCAGTCCGTCTCCCTCTGAGAGAAAGGGACCAGATGCCGATGAATGAGGACTGGCCAGGGGCCCAGTGGGTTGCAGACCTCCTCTCCCTCCCTGCACAGGGACCATGCACACAGCCTAGGGCAGTTCCTGGTCTGTGGCCAGCAGGAGCTCCAGATGTGGGGAGAGGTGCCCCGGCCTAGGGGAAGGTGCACATAGAACAAAAGGGTCAGACATTCTGGCTGAGAAGAGACCAAGTTAATGTTCTTTGACAACCTTTTTACTAAAATCGGTGATCAGGTGGGACCAGAGCGGGTAGGACATTTGCCTTGCACGTGGCCTCCCTGGCTTTAATCCTTGGTATCCCATATGCCCCCCCCCCCATCCTCCCCAAGCACCACCAGGAGCGATTCCTGAATGCAGAGCCAGGAGTAATTTCTGAGCAACAATGGGTATGCACCCCCCCTCCCCCAAAAGCAGTGATCATATCAGAGTGGATAATGAACACCTACCTGCAGGTCTGAGTTTTGGCAAATTTTACCATTAGGTCCTTCCCATACACCGGGAAGTTGTAGACTTGCTCCAGGCCAGCCAGCAAGTGAGCTGAGGTCAGAGCTCAGCTCAGGGCTGGCAATAAGACAGTGGAAGGGTCTGGAGTGGCAGAAGCCTGTAGAGTGCCAACTGCTGTGTGACTCTGCAAAATGACTCCTACGGCGGTTTCCAGGGACTGTCAGTTTCTATGAGAAAGTGTTGCTCTGCTCTTCGGGATAGAGTGAACATTTTCACTGCAAAAGGAGGTAGTAGGCTGAGTAGCTGAGGGGAGGGAAGGCCGAGAGGGGTGGTCCAGGGAGGTTCCCTGGGACCCAAGGTGCTTGTCTTAGTCTGGCCACCAGATGGCAGCACAGCCCACTTTAAATAGACTGGTGACCGGGTGGGAGAGGACAGCGGGGAGCGGTGGGAGAGGACAGCAGGGAGCGCCTTTGCCTTGCACGCAGCCCACCCACGCTTGATCCCCAGCATCCCATATAGATCCCCAGGTGCAGAGCCAGGAGGAGCACTGAGCACTGCTGAGTGTGGCCGAAGAAAGAAACAAAAGAAACAAAAAATAGACTGGTGAAGTGTGTGTGTGTGTGTGTGTGTGTGTGTGTGTGTGAGAGAGAGAGAGAGAGAGAGAGAGAGAGAGAGAGAGAGAGAGAGAGAGAGAACATGCATGTATGATGTGAGAAACTGAAGGCCATGTGTGTGTGCACCTTGAGTGAGCATGTGTGAGTGTGTGAGAGGGAGGTGTGGGGCTGAGGTGGTGCGAGAGTTGGGCAGAAGTATCTGTAGGAGAAGCCCAGAGAGACCAAGTCCCCTCAACCCCAGGGAACCAGCTCTTCCTGCCCCCTCTCTCCGGCTGCTGAGCTCTACTTCCAAGACCTAGGGGTGAATAGTCATGAGGAAAGCAACAGTGCTCCCAAGCCCGGAGTTGGTGCCAGTGCCAGCCCGGCCTGGCCTGTACCCGCACCTGGGCTTGAGGGTAGAGTGGGAACTCCTCAGCCCTCAGGGAAGGCCCTGCCTGTGTGGC